GGTCGTCGAAGGCGACGTGGATGGGTCAGGGTCGTTGCGTGCTAGCATCCGTTGGGTGCTCCTCGTTTCGGGTTGGTTTCTTGTCTCAAAAACCATTATCCCTGAAGCCGGGAGCACTGTCTCATCCCCTCAGCACGTAGCCAGACTCACCTCTTCGGCGGATTGGGGCTTATAGAAGGCAGCGGACGATACAGTTTTTAAACGTCGGCCCCCTGATGATCGAGCAACCCACCCGGCACACTTTACCGCCGCCGATTACACGTACCCACGAAGAGCGACAGGCCAACCCAAAACGCTTCCTGACCGTCGAATGTTGTAGAGCCGGATAACCCACCCGGAGTACCTGTGGATACGACCCCTTGCGAGGCACCGCTGGGTCCGCGAAGCCGCCCGACGATTTACCCTTAGTGCGCAGCCACGCCCTGCACCTTGGTTTGCAGGCTGTAAACCGAATCTCCGGCGGTGATGAACATGGTATCCAGGTCCGCGCCGCCGAAAACGAGGTTACGGGGCACCTCGGGGACACGGATAACACCCTGTCGGTTGCCTTGGGGATCGATCACCCAAATCCCTCCGGAGCCGGTGCAATACACTCTCCCTTCGGTATCCACTTTCATGCCGTCCGGTACTCCGGGCTCGGCTGAAGACATATCAGAGAATATCCGGTTGTTACTGAGCGTCCCGTCAGAGGCGACATCGAAGGCTCTAATGCGCCGGTGGGTGCACACTTCCCCCCGTTCCGCCTCCTGAACGCAGCGATCATCAAGACGGCTGATCGCAACGTAGAGAACCGTCTCGTCCGGGGACAACGCGAGCCCGTTGGGGTATTCGCACTCGTCGGTAGCCACGCTCAACGTACCATCGGGCGCGATTCGAAAGACGCCGGCGAAACCCAGCTCCCGTTGTTCCTCCGGGATGCCGCGTTCCGGGTCGGTGAAATAGACGCTGCCATCGGTGCGGCAAACTATGTCGTTGGGTCGGTTGAGCCGGTGGCCCTGCCACCGGTCGGCCACCGTGGTTATCGAGCCATCGGCGTCCATCCGAGTGATTTGCCGGTTGGCCCCCTCGCACATCAGGAGCCGGCCCTGGCGGTCCAGAGTACAACCGTTGCCTTCTCCGGTGTTGGTGCGAATCACGACGGCTTCGGCGCTACCGTCCCAGCGCATCAACATACTTTCCCGGTGACGGACGTAGGTCAAGTAGTCGCCGGGATGCCACAAGCGGCCCCTCAGTCGGCCCTCCAGCGGCGATCAAGACGGGGGTGCTGGACTCAACTATCGCGGAAAGGTCTTCAGGCATGGCTAGCACACTCCCAGGCACGAGTCGGAAACCGCTACTAATCGGCACGATTATATCAGTCAGGTCCTGAGGTAACCGGCTCAGCAATCGCAAAACACCACACTTTGTTGATATCCGGCCGAATTTGCAGCAACCATACAATACGCCTCGGCGGACAAGCCTAGCCGATGCGGGCCACGACGCCATTGAGTAGACACTCACTGCCCGAGCCAACCACGTCAATCGGGAGACCGACGATCACCGCCCCAGAGCGGGCGAACGGCACTGACACGAAATGCCACTAATCGTTCATGGGCTCGGCCTACGGTAAAATCAGACCCCGCGAAATTCCCCTGGTGCCGTCCGCCGCGGGAAGGGCATCATCAGGGCGATCGGGTTGGCGCGGCGCCAGCCCCGTCCGCGATACTCGAGCACCCGACCTTTCCGGAGGCCTAAATCCGCGGGCGGATGTTTTGGTTGTGGCTGAACAGGTTCGTAGGGTCGTATTGCTGCTTCAGGGCTGCCAGCCTCTGGAAGTTGTCTCCGAAGGCCGCCTGAATCGCCTCTTCCCCTTCTTCCGCCTCGGTGCCGACCTGGTTGATGTAGGCCCCCGAGGAGAAGGGCATCAATGCTGAAGCAAAATCCCGGACCCACCGAATGTGGACCTCCGACTCTCCCGGGTCCAGGAAGACCGCGTTGGTGGCCCATTCGCACAGGGCTCCCCGGTGACCGAAGGCGGACTCGTTGGCGGGCACACGCCGTGCGGCGTTACCCAGATACTGGAACAGGACGCTTGAGAGCGGCGAGGTAGCCCGCTCAAAAAAGTCGAGTGTGATGTCCAGCGCGTCGTCGCTGACTTGACTCATGAAATGGGACTTCAGGTAGTTCTGCCGTCCCTGAGGGGCCAGCGCAAGCGTCTGGGCCTCGATGTAAGTCATGGGCCGGACGCCGTCGGATAATGGTGGTCCGAACTCTCGGAGCGGCCGGATCACCCGCTCGCCCTCTTCGACGGAGCCGTAGTGACAGAGCAGAAATGCTACACGCTTTGCCTCCGGCCTCGGGGAGAGTCGTAAGGAAGGTGATGATGTTCATCTCGTCGGGCATATTGGCGGTAAACTCGGCGACCAAGGCGAAGAATTCCCTTACCTTGTCGAACGGGTAGACCAGGGAGCCTGCCAGTACAGTAGGGCCGACGGATGCAGTCGGTACTCGAGAGAGGTAACGACGCCGAAGTTGCCGCCGCCGCCCCGGAGACCCCAGAACAGGTCGGGGTTCTCGTTGGCGCTGGCAGTGAGCGGCCGCCCGTCGGCGGTGACCACGTCGGCGGAAACCAGGTTGTCGCAACTGAGGCCGTAACTGCCGGACAACCATCCGATTCCGCCGCCCAGGGTAAGACCGGCGATGCCGGTGTCCAGGTCAGTCCCTCCCGGCGTGGCGAGTCCGAAGGCCTGGGTCTCGTGGTCGAACGCTCCCCACTTTGTCCCACCCTGGGCCCGGGCCGTTTTGGCCGCCGGATCGACGCGGACGCCCGTCATCCGGGAAAGGTCGATCATCAGACCGTCGTCGCAAACGCTGTTGCCCGGGAAATTATGGCCGCCGCCACGCACCGAAATCAGTAGGCCGTTCTCCCTGGCGAAGTTCACCGAGTTGATCACGTCGGCCGTTCCGCTGCAGCGGGCGATCAGAGCCGGCCGTTTGTCGATCATGGCGTTCCAGATCCGTCGCGCGCTGTCGTATCCCTCGTCGCCGGTGCGGAGGGTCACCCCGTGGAGGCTGCTCCTGAAGTCCTCGACTGCTGCCTCGCTGATGAAGGCGTAGTCGCCGGAAAGGGTCGCAAAATTCAGCTCCGTCATACATCTGCCCCAATGCCTGCTTGTCGACGCCCCTGGAGCCTCTCTGACCATGACGGCCACACGCTCCAAACGCATCCGGAGGCCGGGCTTGTCCGCTTCGGCCGTCGCCGATTATATGTCCGACGCGGTATGGCCGCTACTGGAACGTCCCTGATGACCGCCCATCAGAGCGGAGGGCAGCCGCAGCTGCGGGCTCCAGCGGACGCCCCTCAGACCTCGTGCTATATTGCCCTATCGCGCCGCACCGTTGGGCGCAGATTCAAGGGGGGCCAGCAGATGGTCGACAAGGAACAGGACTGGGAGTACGGCCTGCGCGTCGAGGGCCACGGATCCGAAGGTGAAAAGGGCGGGCCGGTTGTGATCGGCGAGAACGGCTTCCACTATCAGGTCTCGGGCGAGAACTGGGGCCAGCTCCCAGAAGGATGCGTCTACCGGGAGGGGACGGCCGTCGCGGTCGACTCGAAGGATCAGGTCTACGTCTTCAACCGCGGGACCGTGCCGATGCTCGTTTTCGACACCGATGGGAACCTGCTGCGCACCTGGGGCGATGGCGTGTTCGCCAACCCCCACGGCGTAACCATCGCACCGGACGACACCGTCTTCTGCGTGGACAACGGCGACAGCACGGTACGGCAGTTCACTCCCGACGGCGAGCTGCTGATGACCCTTGGGACGCCCCACAAGCCGAGCCCCAGGATGAGCGGCGAACCGTTCAGCGTTCCGGCTCACGTGGCTTTCGACAAGCGCACGGGAGAATTCTACGTGGCCGACGGCTATTCCAACGCCAGGGTGCACAAGTACTCGCCCGACGGCCGGCTCCTCTTCTCGTGGGGTGAATCGGGCACCGGGGACGGCCAGTTCAACATCGTCCACAACGTCGTAGTCGACAACGACGGCTGGGTGTACGTTGCCGACCGTGAGAATCATCGCATCCAGGTCTTCAGCTCCGAAGGGAGATACGAGACCCAGTGGGGTAACCTCTCCCGCGCCGCCGCCATCTGCATCGACGACCGGTCGGGGGAAGAACTGATATATATCGGCGAGTACTTCTGCGGAATCGCCACCAACGACATCGGCACAGATCTCGGTCCCCGTGTAACGGTGATGAACCCCAAGGGCAAAGTCCTGGCTAGGGTCGGGCGAGAGAGCTACGGCGACCAGTCGGGCCGGTTCTATTCCCCTCACGGAATAGCCGTGGACTCCAGGGGAGACCTGTATGTGGCGGAGGTGTCGTGGACCGACTATGGCCGGCACATGGACCCACCTCGCGAGCTTCGTTCGATGCAGAAACTGGTCAGGGTTCGCGATTAGCGGACGGCAACTGTCCGCCAAACCGGACAAAATTAAAATCTTGCGCGCTGAGGTTCATGCTGGCCCCGCAACCGCCCATTCGCATCCGAGGTCGGTTGGATTCGCCGTGAAACCAGTTGGGGCCCCGTTTGCTTCCAGGGGATAGCGTTTGGGAGAGCGCTATCCGATGAGTTGTTTCCCCTACAAGCAAGCGAATGCCCCCGAAGCAAATAGAGAAGCTACTCTGGTATACCCAGAGCCTTTCGCACTGCTCCGCCAATGGGTGTCAGCGGGCTCTCCTCGGGAGGGCCGTGGGGGACCATGCGGTTATGGTGGATAGCAACCGCCAGTCGATGCTGGGGGTCCACCCAGCCCAGACAACCGCCGGCCCCGTTGTGGCCGAAAGCCAGAGGGTTGCTGCCCATGGCGCCCATACCTGGACTACCTGCGAAGTGGAAGCCTCCGATGGTTCCATGATGGGGTCTACCGTGCACCGGGTCGTAATCGCTGGGGGGTCGGGGTATGTGGAAGGTCCGCACTCGCTCCTCAGAAAGAAGGCGCACGCCGTGCAGCTCACCACCATTGGCCAGCATGGCGTAGAACCGGGCCTGGCTCCGCGCATTCATGATTCCCTGGGCTCCGGGGATACAGGCTTGGCGCACATCAGAACGGCCAAACACCTCCTGGGTAGTCCCCACCACCGGCGGAGAGGCCCGGAACCGCAGCGAGTCCGGAGGTATTCCCGGAGCGCCGGGAGGGACACTCTGGTAGGTTGGTAAGCTTAGCTACCCGGGGTTCAACCTCGGGTGGAATTCCGGCCCAAAGGTCGGTGATGCCCAGGGGTTGGCAGATTTCTTCCTGGATGAACTGACCGAAGGGCCGGTGCATTGGATCCGTACGACGCACGATCTCACCCACTACCCAGCCAAAGGTGTACGCCATGTAGCCGCTTCGGGTTCCAGGCTCAAAGAGAGGGTGCATCTCCGCGATCTGCCCGACCATCCAGTCCCAGTCGCACATCAATTCCGGAGTAACTCCCACGGGCATCAGGGGAACTCCAATACGGTGGGTCAACGCATCGAATACCGTGCCTTTGTCCTTGCCGTACTTTCCGAATTCGGGCCAGTATTTAGCCACGGGTTGGTAGTAGTCCACCAGCCCGCGCTCCGCCTGAATGTGGAGCGCTGTCGCCGTCATGGCTTTGATATTGGAAAACACCGGGAACAGGGTGTCTCCATCGACCTCCTGGCCGGTGGTCTCGTCAGACAGGCCGCCCCACTGGTCGATCACCAATTCGCTGTCCAGGTAAGCTGCAACCTGGACTCCGATTTCTCCGCGTTCGCCGATGGCGACGTCGATAGCGTCCTGTACGATGCTTTGCGAACTTTCCACCATAGCAGCACCTCTACGTTGATGATTTTTGCAAAGATGGGTCCACTCCGGTGAACCCGGCTTGGAAGGTGTTTCGAAAGTCCCTTCACCTTGGGGACAAGGGAAGTATCAAGGGGTGGCCTGCCTCCAGTGTTTGTACCACCCTCCATGATAGTGCGACAAGTACCTGATAACGCCGGTGGTGACTCAGGTCGTCAATGGCGGCGGGAAAACTTACCAATGCGGTGTTGACGGTCAGTGATCGATCCACCCGCGTGGCCAAATTTTATCCCCGCCGGTTATAGTGTTGACGTTCAGCGAGAATGTCCGCGTAAGTGGTCAGCAAGAATGTCACCCGTCTAGTCCGCGATGGTATCAAATGGTGATTCTGTAGGTGCTGCAGGAGTCCGCCAACGCGGTGGACTCTCGGCGTCGATGTACCGCCTTACGGTATCTCTGTGGAGACCCAACTCCCTTGCCATCTTGCGAATGGACATGCCCTCGAGCTTGGCCTTCTGCACCGCGTCCCATCGGGCCTTTTCAGAAACGTCGGCCTCTTTGGCGAAATGGTCACCGTCATCGAGACCACGTCTTCATCGTCGATGACAGAACCGTGGCCGTTTTCTGTAGCTATCATGGTTAGTCGATCATGGGCGGTTTCCTGCGGTTCACGGAGGCCTTCGAGGTGAGGGGACGGGACGGCATTACCTGAGGGAGGTTTGATGCCGTCTCGCAGAGACCCTGGACTTGGCGGCGCCTCCTGGACGGCAATGATGCATCCCTCACGCTGTAGCGACAGCCGGCCGGCCAGTCCCTCGTCGGCGTACCGCCGTTTGATGCGGAACACCGTGCGCGGCGACGTATCCAAAGCCTCCGCCACTTGGGACGCACTCCACCCTGCGTCAGTCTTGAGCGGGATGCGCGCCCGATTGATGATCCGAGCGGAATGCTGGCCGCTTCGAATCAACCGCTCTAGTTGGGCCCGATCTTCCGGCGATAACCGTACCCCATATTTCCCTACAACCATGGATGCCACATCTGCCGCACCGCTGTTTGTCCGTCAGCGCAGCAACCGTGGCCCGTTTTATCCTTTTTCCGCTAATGCAAGTTTGACTGAATACCAGGCCAACTGGTTCAGCACGTGATGGTATCGAGCATTGTTGCGGCGGCCGCTGAAACCCCTGTCGAGCGGCGCTGAATCCACCGTGCGCCGGCCCGGAGGTAAATATCCCGCTGCCCAGCCGGACTGGGGATTTTTCAAGTCCGGCGATGGAACAGCGTGGCGAAGGGTAAGAGGACCGATGAAACGACGTTCGGCAGGGTAAGCATGACTTGACCTGCCATGAGATGTCGGGTCAATCCAGCTTACCCCGCTTCGGTCAGTTTTCTAGTTGTTGTACGAAGTCCAAGCTAGTGCAATGGGCAACTTGTCTCGGCAACGCAGACGGGGCGAATGGTCTTCCGCCCCGATATGCTCTGTTGGCAACGACCTATCCCCGCCCGTTCCGCAGCAGGCGTCCGGGCGTCGCGCCGGTGGGCTCGCCGTCCTCAAAGGTGATTTCGCCGTTCACCAAGGTCCAGCGGTAGCCCTTAGCCTTCTGGATGCGGCGCCACTCGCCGCCGGGCAGGTCCTCGGCCACCTCTGACGGAAGCACTTCCAGCTTCTCCAGATCATAGATGACTACGTCTGCCGGCGCGCCCTCGCGCAGCGCGCCCCGGTCCTGGAATCCGCCGAAGTGAGCCGGCAGGTACGATAGCTTGAAGTGGGCGTCCTCCAGGGTAATGACCTTTTCGTCTCGCACTAGCCAGGCCAGCATATCCGTCGGATAGATGCCGGCGGTCAGGAACTTGACGTGCGCGCCGCCGTCGGAAACACCGGCGACGACGTGGTTGGAGTCCAGTACCTCCGCCGTGAACTGCGCCACATCACGACCCTGGGTGTCGGCGTAGAACTCCGTCGCCAGGTCGTCCTCCACGCACATGTCCAGCAGCGCGTCGATGACGTGCTTGCCCTCCTCGTCGGCGATTTGCTGAACGGTCAAGCCGGCTTGCGGGCTGGAGGCTTCGGTCTCATCCGGCGCCAGAGCAATCATGCGCCCATCGACGACGTTGACTACGAAGGACTTCAAGCGCAACTCACCGTTGGTGATGCAACGTCCGCCGTCGTGCTCGTACTCGTAGCCGTGGGTATCGCAGACGAACTTGTCTCCGTCATCGTCTACGCAACCGCCCTGGTGCGGGCAGACCACCGACAGCAGTTTGTAGCCGTCGCGGGTGTTGACCAAGAAGTAGTCAGCGCCGCTGACATCGACCTTGGCGGGCATACGGGTGAAGTCGGTCTCAGCGCCGATGTCAATCTTCACCTTGCGGGTCATCACCTGGAGGCTGCCCACGGAGCCGGGGGTAACCTGGGTGGGACGCCGGCCTGAGTCCCATTCTTCCTTTAGTTTCAGGCGCATCTCCGGATCGGACATCTTTGCTTTCCTGGTAGCCTTGTCGCCCAGGGTGACTTCGCGCCACATGGGGGTATCGTCGAACAGGTTCCAGTCTTCAAAGGTGAGTTCGAATCCACCGCGTCGGGTATTGCCTTGTCCGTAAACCCGCAAGCCGCGTTGAGCGCAACTCTCGAGCCAGCGGATGCGCTCGCGGTGCTGTTCGGGGTGTACGGAGTTGGGAGATACCGTCTGGTACAGCACTGGCCGGCCTGAGACTTCGGCTACCTTTTCAAAGAATAGGCGGGCCCCTTCGCCCAAAGGCCGCCCTTCCTCGCCGGTCTCCTGATAGGCCAACTCGATGAAGCCTTCATCCCGGTCCGCCAGCACCTTGGCGAAGGTCAGTACCTCGTGCTCGGACAGCATATCGGTAATCATCGGGGTACCGTCATAGTCCCGCTGCACCGAGTTGACTCCCAACACCTGAGCCGACCAGCCACAGGCGCCATGATCCATGGCCTCGTGGATGAGCCGCGCCATTTCCTGCAGCTCGTCCTCCGTGGGGCGGCGCTTTTTGGCCTCTTCCCAACCCATGACCCAGGCGTAGAGCGGCGTCAACGGTACGTAGGTCAGGCAGTTCACCCCCTTGGGAGTGTTGGCTAGGCTGTCGATGAAGTCGGGGAAGGTGACCCAGTTCCAGGGCATCCCTTCCTTCATGGCGTCGTAGGGGATGGCCTCATTACGGGTCATGCTGAGCATCGCCCGGTCCCGGTCCTCCACCCGCGACGGCGCAAAGCCGAACCCGCAGTTGCCCAGGGCCACGGACGTAACGCCGTGCCAGCCTGACAGGGTGCAGTAGGGATCCCAGAAAATCTGGGCGTCGTAGTGAGTGTGCAGGTCAACGAATCCCGGCGCCACAATCAACCCTTTCGCGTCGATTACCCGATCGGTGGTGTCGCCGTTCAGCCCGCCAATCTTGGCGATCCTGCCGTCCTTGATGGCAATGTCGCTCACGTACCGCGGCGTCCGCGTCCCGTCAACTATCGTGCCCTTCTTGATGATAATGTCGTAATCCGCCATCAGTGCCTCCTGGTTGGAATTAGGTTCGGTGATTAATTGCGACTTTGATAACGAAATCCATACGAACATCGTCTGCGTGCCAGTCTAAATTACCACCAACGCCGGCGTCAATAATTGTTATTCTCAATAAGAGACTATACCGCACGCGTCCGCAGTTTCATCACCTGTGATTGCGAGAATGCCATCAGCTGGGCTCCCGACTAACTGGGTGCTCACGCGGCAATTGGCGTGCCAGGAGGCGCCTGCGTGTTGTGTTCGGGAGCATCGGACATGGGCACCAGTTGGTAGCCCAGTTGGGCGGCCCGACGCTTGGCAGCGCGCAACGCCCGCTGCTGATACTGACTTTCGTAGTAGTCTGCGCCTGCGTCCACGTAGTCCTGCCCGTACCGCAGCATGGAATAGATGAGCTTGGTCAGCTTGTGCGCCGTGGCGGTGATCGCCTTGGGTGCGCCCAACTGAGCTTTCTTCCGGCGCAGAAAGGCACCCAGGGCACTGTCGGAGCGGTGCAGCCCGTGGGCGGCCAGACGCAACGCCGCTGCAGCCCGATTGGCGCTGGGCTTGGTCTTGGAGCTCCTGACCTTGCCCGCCGGTGACCCGGTTGTCGGGGCTCAGCCCCAGCCAGGACGCGAAGTGCTTGGCGCTCGGCCATTTGGTCATGTCGGCGCCAATTTCGCTGATGACCTTCAGCGCCGTGAAGCCGTCCACGCCGTCGATCCGGGTCAGGTTCACCCCAGTCATCCGATACAGGTGGGTTCTGATGTCGAAGCGCGGTGCGTTGCCCTGACTGCGTCGCCGGCCGTTCTCGGCGGGAGATCCGCCATCGCTGCGGTCCTCGAACTGCTCCAACTGGGCTGCAATCTCCCGGTCGCACTCGGCAATCTTGGCGTGATAGAACCGGTACAGTTCCAGGGCCTGGGTCAGCTCGAAGATGTGCTCCTCCCGCCAATGCCCCCGCAACGACTTGGCGAAGGTGTCCTGATCCGCTTTCACGCCTGGGCGACGAAACTGCGCCAGCTTGTGGGGGTCCCGTTCGCCGCTCACAATAGCGGCGATGATGTCCAGACCGGTCTTGCCGGTGATGTTGCTGATCACGTGCTGGAGCTTGACGTTCATCTGGGTCAGCGCCTTCTGCATGTGCTGGATATGATGGGAGGCGTACTGCACCAGCATGGCTCGTTGCCGCAGGTAACTGCGCAGGCGTCGTATGTCCGCCTCGGGACGAAACGCTCCGACGGCAGCCCGTAGGTGTGTAGCTGCTGGAGCCACTGGCAGTCCAGCACGTCGGTCTTGCGACAGGGTCTTTCGATTGTCATCGTGGGGGACGACACGAGGCGGCGGCCGCGGGGCAACGCGTCGGTTTTTGGCAGGCGGCGTTGCTACGGCGACGAGATTGCCACGCTTCGCTCGCAATGACATTTAGCAAAATCGAATGACCCTGGTCTTGCGACCGGATACGTGCTTGATGCGCCTGGGGTCCACCAGCATCACCTGAAAGCCCCGCTCTTCCAGCACTCCGAACAGGGGTATCCAGTACACGCCGGTGGACCGAACCTTCCGGTCATTCCTGACGCCCGATCTGCTCATCCTGGACGACCTGGGGCTCCATGGCCTCACCCCTCAGCAGTCCGCCGATCTCTACGAGCTCATCCTCAACCGGCACCGGTCGTCCAGCTTCGTCATCACCAGCAACCGCGCCGTGGACGAGTGGCTCAGCCTCTTCGACGATCCCATCCTGGGCAACAGCGCCCTGGACCGACTGGCCAATGACAGCTACCAGATCGTCATCGAAGGCGCCAGCTACCGGGAGCGGCTATCGCCACACCGCTCCCTGCTGGGCAAAGGGGGTGATTGACCGAACAACACCAACCTGATATTTACCAATCATCGCGCTTCCAGGGGCCGGTCAATGACCGTGAATACGGCTGCGCAAAGACTCTGAATAACGACACGTAGGACGCTTCCATCTCCGCCATCGTCAGTTCTCCACGCTCCATTTGCTCCCGCACCCGCGCTTCCGCGCCCGCCACGCTCAACGGAACGGTCCCGGTCTCCCCAGACACCATCCGCCGGTGCAGCGCGCTGTTGTCATCCGCCATGCACTCCGCGTACTCACGCGCCAGCCGATCGCCGGAGGCTTCCCCAGAAGACTCGCAGCCCGCCAGTCCCACCCCCAAACAAACCAGGGCCAGGACCGTCGCAACCACTCGCCTCATCTCTCCTGCATCCCGTCGATTACGTGAACTGACCAAGGTCGGGCACGTCCGCCGTCGCCGTGCGCCGGTGACGCCGGCAACCGAGCCGTTGTTGATGATCGACAATTGTACAGCGCGTGCACTGACCATCGACCCTGGCCGCTGACACCGAAGGAAAGTCCCGGCCCAAAGCTGCGGCCGGAATTGCTCACCCGTCTGCGCTACACTGTTCCCAGGCCAGAACGATCTGCCGCATCCTCCAGGTAAACGCCATGACCTACGCCCGCAACACCACCGTCGCCGTCAACCGCACCCGCGACGAGATCGAACAGACCTTGAACCGGTACGGCGCCGACGGCTTCGCCTACGCCACCCAGGGCAACCTGGCCACCGTCATCTTCGCCATGCAGAACCGCCGCATCCGCTTCGTCCTGGAGCTGCCCGATCCCGACGACTTCCAGCTGAGCAACCACAACCCGCCCCGGGAGCGCAGCGCCAGAGCTCGGGAAGAAGCCCACGACCAGGCCAGCCGCCAGAGGTGGCGCGCCCTGCTGCTGGTAATCAAGGCCAAGCTGGAGGCCGTCACCGCCGGCATCTCCACCATCGAGGCCGAGTCCCTCGCCAACATCGTCCTGCCCGACAACACCACCGCCGGCCAGTGGATCCTGCCACAGATCGACCGGGCCTACCGCACCGGCGAGATGCCGCCCCTGCTGCCGGCAGCCGGAAACTCCGACCCGCGATCCGGCGGTCCCATTCCGTTGCCCCCTGCCTGAGCGCCGCTTCCACGGTTGGAAGCGCAATCCCCCCGTGGGATAATCACCCCGGCGGACCGGCCGCTGGACGGGCATTTTCACCGCAGACCTTCCGCCGTGGAGGAGCCGATGGTGGAACGACGACAACCCCCAGTGTCCGAGCTGGCCCTGGCCGACGCCCTCGAGCGCCTCGTCGTCATGATCGAGGAGCTCAGGATCGATGTGGGCCTCCGCGTGGCGGTCACCATCGACGACACCCAGATGCTTAAGCTCACCTTCTCCGGCACTCCCGACACCGGCTTCCCCCTGCATCGGGAAGTGCACGATATCCCCGGCGAGGTGGTCCGCCGCGTCTGGAACGAGGGACTGCGCGGCTACGAGGTCGTCTAGCTTCACAGCGGGCGTCTCGGCACGCCGCGAACCGGCGGCGACACCAGAGTATCATCCGCTGGGCTGGCGAGACGCCGTTCCAACGCCGTGAACACGTCGATGAGTTCGGGCGCCTCAAAGGCGCGGTTGCGACGTCCCACGCTGACCTGGACCAGCACTCCCGCTTCCACCAGACGGTCCATGGCCTGGTTGGCCGCCTGGAAGGAACGCCCGGTCAGCTCGGCCGCGGTCGCCACGGTGAGCACCGGCGCCGCCGGCAGCGCCCCGATCAGCCGCCGCACCGCCGAGTCTCGACGAGGATTGCCCGCTCGCTGGCGCCAGGTTTCCTGTAGTTGCCGCACTCGTTCCTGAAACCACCCGGCATCCGCAACCGCCCAGCCACAGGCGGAGGCAAACAGCGCCACCCAGCGGTTGATACCGATGTGCGCAGCTTCCGATCCCGTCCCGCCCGCGTATCGCGTGGATGTCAGACCCGCCACGTAGTCATCCGCCCAGGTGGACAGAACCAGGGAAACCGGAGGCAGGAACCGTGTTGCGATCCCGCGTCGGCGCAGCACCAGGTGGATCAGCGCCCGTCCGGCGCGCCCGTTGCCGTCCACGAAGGGATGGATGGTCTCGAACTGGGCGTGGGCAACTGCCGCCTGGGCCAGCGCCGGCAGTCCATCGTCATTGCAGAAGGCGATCAGGTCATCCAGCAGGGTAGGGACATCCTCCGGAGGTGGCGGAACGAACGCTGCCGAACAGGGGTTGTGGCCGCTGCCGCCGGTCCAGTTCTGCACCGTGCGGACACGGCCGCCGTGTTCCTCCAGGCGGGTCCCCGCCAGGAGACGACGATGCACCTCCAACAAGACGTCCAGAGTGATCGGACCGTTCGGTTCCACCGCGTCCATTCCCAGACCATGGCATCGACGTTGGCCAGCACCTCGGCGGCTGTGACGTCACGAGCCTCCTCGCCCAGTTGACGAGCCGCATCGGCCCGAAGCAGCCGTCTTCCCCCTACCACCAGACCCTCGATGCGGGAGGACGCCACGGCCTCGGCTCTCAACAGCAATCGCGCCAGTGCCTCGGTATCGGCCAGGGCATCCACCCTCCCGTTGAGCCTGACCAGGTCGGCCTCGGCGTCCGAGATGTCCGCGGCCACGTCGCCATCGAAGGCGAAACGGCGAATGGCCAATGGATCCGGCAGGTAGACCGAGTATCGACACGGCCTGCGATCGCGCCGGGTCAGCCCAGCGAAATCGGGTTCCCAGATACGTTCCTCACCGGGCTTTGTACAAAAGCTAGGCAAATTATGAAAACAGGGTAAGCTGGCCTGACCCCATCTTTCACAAAAAGGCCAGACCATGCTTACCCTGCCGGATGCCATGCTACCCGTTCTCAGTCCCTTCGCAACGCTGTTTCAAACCCGAACCTGGATCAAAGCCCAGCTACTGCTGGTCGGCGCGATACTGGCTCCAGGCCAGCGCACGGTGGCCTCGGCGCTCCGCGTCATGGGCCGCAGCGACGACTGCAACTATGCCCGCTACCATCACGTGCTCAACCGTGCCGTGTGGTCGCCACTTCAGGTGTCCCAGGTCCTGCTGACGTTGTTAATCCAGCATCTGGACCAGGGTGATGGCCCCCTGGTTTTCGGCATACGAGCCTTTTGCCAAATCGGGAAACCGTGGAGCGACGCGGCGGTCCTAAAATCAAAGCCCGGGGCATCTACCGCGATGCGGTGCGTTCCAGCCGCAGCTATCTGGTCAAGGTCAGCGGCTTGCGCTGGGTTTACCTGATGTGGCTGGGCCACGTCCCCTGGGCCGGACGCTATTGGGCTTTGCCGGTGCTGACCGTTTTGGCGCCTTCGGCCGAGTATCACCGCCAGCGCGGACGGTCTCACCAAAAGCTCACCGACCGGGCCCAGCAGATGATCCGACAACTCCGCCGCTGGCTGCCCCATCGACCTCTGGTACTGGTGGGCGATAGCGGTTACGCCGTCCCCGTATCGTAGCACGGGGCAGGCTATGGACCTGCTCCACTGCTGCCAATCGCTGCCCAAACCCGTTACCTTCATCACCCGATTGCGGCTGGATGCCGGCCTCTATGCGCCAGCGCCAACCCGTCGGCCCGGCCAGAACGGGCGTCCAGCGGTGAAGGGCGCGCGCCTGCCCACGCTGAAAGCGCTCCTGGACCAGGGCGACACCTCCTGGGAGCAGACGACAGTGGCTTGGTACGACAACACGACCCGCGCGGTGGAAATCACCTCGCAAACCGCACTCTGGTATCACACCGGCAAACCGCCCGTGCCCCTGCGCTGGGTCCTGGTGCGAGACCCCAACGGCGAGTTCGATCCCCAAGCCCTACTCTGCACCAACCCAGCCATTGACCCAGCGCAGATCCTGGAATGGTTTGTGCTGCGCTGGCAGCTGGAGTCACTTCCATGGACACCAGGGCTCACCTGGGCGTGGAGACCCAGCGCCAGTGGTCCGACCGCGCCATCGTAGTCGCCCACCCGCCAATCTTTGATGCTCGTTTTCCTGGATTGCCCTGGCCGCCCACCGGTTACAGCAACAACGGCCCATGGCCTAGCGCACCGCGGCCTGGTACGCCAAACCGGCGCCCACCTTCGTCCTCGATGCCATCGCCCTGGTGCGTCGCCACCTGTGGCTGGCGTCGGAGGGTTTTTCAATGTCGACCGCCGAACCTCGACTTTGTGCAATCAGGCGGCGTAAGCAAGGTTGCGTCGCGCATCTTGCGGATGATTTCCGCGCGGAACTGTTTATCAATCAGGGCTGAGGGCTCAGACGTGAAAATCTTCCTGCTTTCCTACTTCCTTCACTGCTGCGCCCCGATGTGTCGTCTGACCCAGACGATGCGTCGGCGAAGAGTGGGGTTGGTTGTGGCATACCACAGCCGTTGAGCCGTTGGGCGCGATACCACCACCCTGTTGTTCGTTCACGACATCGCCGGCCAGCGGTCACCACGCATGGAACCGGCCAAGAGTGCGCGGCGTTGTGGTACGGCGATGGCATCGCTCGCCCAGCGCGTGGGTTTCCCACGCCCAGTGAGCCCGCACGATTCACTCAGAAGGTCACCGCGACATGCCACGCGCAGCTATACCACTGCAGTATCCGCTGCGGATCGGCTCGCTCTGTCGTGTGCATGGCAAAGTCATAGGGTCCGAGGGGTTCCTCTCTGAGGGGTTCCTCAGGTGTCTGACGACGACACGCATGCTGGACCGACGGGTCTCGCTCTCCCGGTACACAGCGGCCACACCCGAAGTCAGCTCGACCAGGCGGTGCTGCAGTCGACCCTGTGGCACGGCAGGGGGTACCTTTAGGATAGTGGCTGGGGTCGTACCGAGGCCACAAGCAAAGGTGGGAAGGACCTGGCAGATGGAAAAATCAAGGCAAAGGAAAGGAAGAAAAAAGAGAGAAAGGAGAAAAGAGAAAAATGGAGGGGGAAATGAGTATCTGGGAGCAGGGAGAGGACGAGGGACGGGGAAACAGTGAAGAGAGTGGCCGACAAGGGATCTGCGTGCCTGTCGCGTTCAACGTTGCCACTTACGGCCCTTCGGCCAGACATCCCATCGGACCAAAGTAACGTCGCTAGATCGGGTGCCCTGCGCGCCCTCGCGCCAGCCCCTTGGCGAGTCACCGAAAACTCGCGTGACCCCACACGGCGGGTTTGCCCGGAGTTCTATGGACACCGGTTGCCGGGATCTCTCTCTGCGAACGAATGGCACCAGACCTGTGCAGCGTGTAAAGGGACGCGTCCCTTTACGGAGTTTGGTTGCTGAACGCAATGGGCTGGACAAGACTCTGACAATGGAGCAGACTCGCGCTTAGGCGTACCGCCGTCACACACACCACCACAGGCTCCCGCTCCGGTAGCGCCGCAGGACAGACCAGCATCTCGCTGGGCGCGTAGATCGGGTAACCACTCTTGTGCCGCGGCCCCTTGCGCGCTTGGGCCGTAGCGGGCCGATGTCGCCAGCGCGGTCAAAAACGGTAGCGCCCAATAGCGTCCCGCCCACCCGATACGTGTCAGCAGCATCAGGCTCACCCATGGCAGTCCGGGAGTCATCACCACCTGGTCGTCCGTGGAGCGGACCGCATCCCGGTAGCGTCCCTTGGCCGCAATCTTCCGGCCCCAACGTCGCTCCACCGTCTCGTCAATGCCGAAAACCAACGGCTCGTTGGATGAACCCAGGCGCCCAGCCACCAGCAGCAACAGCACCCGGCTCAGTTGCAGCGGCGACCACCTGGCCCGGTTGAGCACCTGATGGTAGATGGCGAAGTCGCCCTGCTGCCCAATCCCCAGTATGCTCAGAGCGGAGGACACCGTGCGCTTGCCGGGAGACAGGATCGCTCCCACCGCCAGGAGTTGGGCTTTGCGCCAGGTCCTGCGGTCAAACAGGTGCTCAAAGGGCAGCAACATGGTTACAATGACTTCGGGCAGGGTGGGCATATTCGACCTCTTGTGATGATTTGGTCGAGCTTACCCTGTTCTTATAATTTATCTAGCTTTTGTACAAAGTCGAGCCGCCGAACCTGACATTCACAAACTCCCAGCCAATCTGTACCACAGGTTGGTCGATTCCCTAGGGCGTGTCTTCATTCAGAATCCACACTCTTGAAACACACTCCGTCAGTATGGACGACACAGCGATTGCGCCACAATTAGCCTTCAGGTAACGGCATCGACACAGATGCGAAAGAGCGGGCACCACACGGTGCCCGCTCTTGTTATCAGTCCGCCAAGCCGGAAACACAATCCACCACACACAAAAGTTGCCACAACTGGACTGCCCGGGGTAAGATACAGGCGACGGTCCGGATTCGAAGCAGGTCCGTCGCCACAGTGAGGGGAAGGGTTTCGTCCGCCAAGGCGGGCCGGTCCTTCCTCATTGAAAGGATCGGGGCATTTCTGCTCCCGAAACGATGGGCTTTACCTTTGCAGGAGAGGCCTACCGCTTCCCTTCGCTGTGATTATACCACGCTTGGTAGAGAGCTTCTCAAGCACACGCTGTCAGTAAAAAGGAGTCCATCATGACGCTCGACATCGACGAACAACTCGCTAATTTCCGTGACGCTCGGGCCCTGGTCGTGGAGTCCCTCGACGACATCGACACCAAGATCGCAGCGCTACTCAACGCGAAGAAACTCCTCTCCGCCAACGTCAAGGTAGCGGTCACCCAATTCAACGGCCAAGAAAACCCCAGCAAGTTCATCCCCACCCAGGCTCACATCATCAACGTCAAACAACCGGACGTGGACATATCCAGCATCCGTGGCTGCGCGAGCATACCTGAAGCCATGTTCGCGTGGGCCGACGCCCACGGTGGCGAACTGCTGGGCAAGGAACTCGCCAGCGCCATCAGAATAGCTGGCATCAGTAAAGCCAAGAATGACAACAGCGCCGCCGCCACCATCCAGAACTTCGCCGTCAAAGCGTACGCCAAACATTGGGAGAAGACCGGTTCGAACCATTTCCGCCGTCTGTATCCAGCTGACGAGGCTCCATCACCGCAATCCACCGTGCCTGATAGACTCGGTGTCGAACGACCCTCAGAACACTCACTTGCCGCCGATTAATCGCACCCGGAATCCATTCCCCGGATGCGGCCCAAATACACCCAAAACTGACACTTTTAGGTTGCGGAGTATACGCCAATAAAGTACAATTGTTCGCACGCAAAACACATATTTCGAGGCCGCCAAACAGTCACGCCCAGCGACCCCGATCCACGAAAGCACCACCCGGGATCCGTCAAATCCAAGGGGCTTTCGCTTTTGATTCTAGCGGCGCGTGCCGCAAACCTCAACCCCCCGTCAGGGGTTAATGCCAGCGCACGCCAGAACCAGACTCGGAGTCCCTCCGGTCCCTCGGGTGAACCGGAGGGACAATCATGCCTACCCGCTTCCACTTTTCCAAACGCCAGCGCAAAAAGATACTGCCCCTCCTACCCGGCAAGGACACCGATCCCGGATACACCGCGCACGACACCCTGCTCGATTTAGAGGCCATGATTACCTACGCACGCGAGGGCCATAGCTGTCGTGGACTCGATGAGGACTTCGGCAAATGGGCCACTATCTACCAGCGCATGTACCGATGGATGAAACAGGGCGTGTTCTTCGACCTGTTCGAAGAACTCATCGCGAAGCAAGGGGTCGGTTCCCTCATCATTGACGGTACCATCGTAGCAGTACATCAAGACGCCACCGGAGCCCACAGGAACCAAGGCGACCCCAGAAGTCAAGCCATTGGCAAGAGCAGGGGTGGGCGTACCACCAAAATCATCGCCGCTTGTGATGAGAATGGACAGGTTTTCAACATCCTCGTTGTCCCAGGCAACGACAATGAAGGCCCTTACACGGCCAATTTCACCCGAGGCATCGACGCCGATCATTTCATCGGCGACAAGGCGTACGACAGCGGCCCATTGCTGGAAGAAATTGCCCAGCGCGGGACAGAAATAACGGTCCCGCCTCGAAGCAACCGTCTCATACAGCGCACTTACGACAAGGAGAGGTACAAAACGCGGCACCTCATCGAAAACGCCTTTCAGAAAATGAAGCGTTTTCGCGGGATCGCGACCCGCTACAAAAAAACAGCCCGAATGTACATCGCGCTGATAATCCTGATCCTCATCTACCTGGTCACCAAGATAGGCAAAAGCGCCCTTCGCATGGTCGACATCTGGCGACCCAACATGCCCACCGCAGGCCGAGAACTATACGTCCCTGAACACTTGCGCGAAGAATACGAGCGTTCCCTTTTACAACGGCGGGCGGATTTCGATTGGTTCTCACCGCCAAACCAGTCTGGGTGGAAATCACCCTACTCCTGAACCGGCCGAAACACCCTCCCAATCGAGCTCCTTAGCATCAGCCTGCCTACAGCTGAACAACCACCGAAATGACCGACTCTATGGTAGCCAGAACCAACAAACATCCCTCATACGAAGCACGAGGCCAAAAGGCACCGTCGCTGACCTCAGGACGTTGGGGCACCGAAAACCCGCTTCTCAGGTGATGCTATGAGGAAATTTCGCTACTCCGATTCCACGGCTGGCGCGTCGGACATTGACCGATTGTCCAACGGATTTCGTAATCGTTCCAAACGCCTGAAATTCCGGGTATTTCCGGTTTCTTGAGGTTCACCGGCGTCCGAGAACTTGCCCGGGACGGGCGTTGCGGAGCCGGGCGAAAATCGCCGTATCAGGCTCTGTAACGGGATTTTCGCTTTTCGCGTATAACATCCCGACGAATCCCGGAGAGGGCGTCTCCGTGCGTCTGGAGACGCCCCAAGGC